AAGAATTATTATTATTGTTGTTATTGGTGCTTTTTTTGCTTCAACCACAGCTTCTGGCAGTGAGTTCCACATACTCACCCTTATGAAGAGCAGCTACATGTGAAATCAGCATCGTTTTAATACTGCCTTAACCTTCATGTGGTCTGTACCATAGTAGTAAAATAACTTCTGTAAGAGTAGAACTTTCAGGGGGCAGAGAGCGGGATACTTTTGGCTACTATTACTCCTTTATTCCTTTGCCCTACACCCTGCCCACCCCACACCTCTCCCGCTTCAGATAGCCTGCTCCCAGACCTCTGTCACTGTTATTCCTGAGATGGCCACTAGAAAGTGCATGAAAACAGTTCACAACTGAGAAATATCTTACTGATAGTTGTCACTGAAACCCAGCACGGAATAAAGCTGGTATGTAGCCAAATTTGCCCGTATGCTCATATCATACAGTGTTGTTCCACTCCAGTACACAAGCACAGTACCAGGAAGAATCCTTCTTTAATAATGTAGAGATCTAAATCATACAACAGGAAATTTCATTCTGTCAAACTTCATTGCTATAGTTGTGTTTTTCCTCATTAATCCATGCCATTCCTATTAGTAGATTAACATTTGGGTAGAGGCTAATAATTGAAATAAGACTGACTTCTGCAGATACTAATGGGGATGGGGAGCTCAGGTATCATATGAGTGTTCAGTATCATAGAGTTGGGACAAGTGCAGTTTGTAATCTCACTCTGTACAATTCCCAATCTGAGCTGCAAGGTGCAGGAATTTCTAACTGGACTTCTTGATGATAAATCCCACATTTTAGACTTCTTAGTCTCGTCAAAGATGCAATCACAAAGGAATACATCGTCTCTACTTCTAAATTTAAAAAAATCACCTTCCAACCAGGGCAGAAAAACATATTGCTGCTGTTGCTGCCATCTTTTGGCGAAAGCACAACTGATGGATTTTCTGTCTGACCTCTGATTTGACAAAAGCAATATTTCTACGAGATTTACAGATGTCTGAATTCTCTTCATGCATGGAGGCACATTCACATTATGGCACTGTCTATCTGATTCTCCACAATAATAATTTGTCAGCTCAGTAACTTAAAAATACTTTTTCCCCAGAACTTGATCAAAAGATAGGAGTTGTTCTGCTCTGTGTTCCATACAGTACATTGTTGAAAGCTGAGTGATGTTTGTCATTTGGTAAGTTTTGAAAATGTGACCCTGTGTGCTTAGAAATAATTCCATTGCAATGTTTAACTAAAATGTCACTTTGCATCATTAAGGTCAAGTTATTTATGGTTAGAGAAAAATCAATTATAGTTTCTATTCCTGATTACTATCTACCTCAATTGTTAGCACAGTACTGTGCTTGACTGTGATACTGTGATTTGTGTTCAAGAGAGAGAAGGCAATAGAAGGAGGGGAAATTAGGATGGGTTGAGACTCATGTGGCATATAAACACTGGCATGAACAAGTAAGACAAAGGCCTTCTTTGGAGCTGTAAATTCTGGGTAATCACAGAGTCATTTGGAAATTTCCATATAATTTAGCATCTCCATGTAATAATGCTCTCCTATATTTGTAGACAGGAGGTATTTGGTATCTCCATGTAATAATGCTTTCCTATATTTGTAGACAGGAGTATTTTAGGTGCTCTGAGACACTACCCTGTGTGAAGGGTGCTTTTTAAATGCAAGTTGTTGTTGTATTTTAGATTGTGCCATCAACCATTCAGAATTACGAATGGTTTATAAATATGAAGGGTGCTCACAACATTTTTGCTTACTTATAACTGAAGTTTGTCAGCAAGAGATAGGGTTGATGTGAGATGTTACAATATTAATAATCTTGCATTTGACTTGACACATTTCATGTCAGGAGGATTTTTCCACCCTCGCCCGACTCCACCTCCTCCCCATCCCCCAGAGGATCGAGTTCAAGATCCTCGTCCTCACTTTCAAGGCCACCCATGGCCTTGCCCCCTCATACCTCTCTGACCTGCTGACTCCCTACCAACCTGCTCGCTCCCTCCATTCAACGGGCTCCAGTCTGTTCATGTCTCCCGCCCAACCCACCCTACCATTGGTGGCCGGGCTTTCAGCCTCTCTGCCCCACACTCTGGAACTCCATCCCACAGTCCCTTCACCTCGCTTCCTTCCTTGCCTCCTTCAAGGCCGAACTCAAGACCCTTCTCTTCGACCGTACCTTTGGTCATCCTCCCACCTCTCTGCCTTCCCTCACCCCCACACCACCCCTTCCCCATTCTCGGGTCCGACACCTGACTGTTCAAAGCTTTGGGACATCCTCCCGACGTGAAAGGCGCTCTATAAATGTAAGTTTGTTGTTGTTACACTTGATGGTCATGCTTTCAATCACTATGCCCCAAATCTCTTGTAACTCCTTGCCTCAATCTCTCCATCTTGCCCCTTCTTTGCCCATCTTCAAATCACACCTGAAGGCTTTCATGTTTAACCGTGCCTTCGGTTACCTGCCTTTCTTTTCCCAAGCTTTGTCTCTTCCTAACTTCTGTCTATTCTTCTCCAGAATTAGATAAGCAGAATGCATCCCTCCAGGGAGAGAGTGTGCCTTGGGATGAACTCCCGACGTGACAGGCACCATACAAATAATAATAATCCTTCCATTTGATATAACACCTTATCACATCTTCGAGAGGTCTCAAAGCACTTCACAGAATTTACTGTAAAGTGAATTGACTGTATATTTTGTTGTATTCCATTCCAGACATGAGAATTTCCATGTGTCGATCACATGCATGGAACTTTCATTTTAGTTTGGATTCTCTTAAACAGGGTGATGGGTCTTACAAAAAAATCCCACATTTTCTAGCACTAAATCCCTCAACTCCGTGACCCCAAATCTGAAACTAAAAGTAAAAAGCAAAAATATAGTAAGTGAAGTTACTTGTATGAGCATTGTTTTTAAGAACATCTTGTGAGTTAATAAGGATAAATTCAAGGCAGTATAATTTTATAAAATATGGTTCATGTCCAACACATTCATTTGCGTGAATGTGACAGAGTGGGTACGTAATGTATGGTAGTGAATATTATGTAGTTTGGCATGAGAAAAGCATCTGATAAGTTCCCTCACAAGAGAATTGTGGCTGACATAAAATATCATCGGCTGAAAGAAGTAAATTGTATTATTATTAACTAGATCATAGGAAATCGAGAGTAGTCATCAATAGTAATAGTTCTTATTGATCCTTCCTCCAGTCAATCTGGTTCACAGTGTTTACAGCTGAGGTATTGAACTGAAAATAGAATGTCCCAAGTTTGCGAATAAGAACACCTTACTTGGGAAAGCAATTAGTCTCAAACAGATGAATCTTGGGTAAAGAGATTTACATTCACACAGCTGTGCAGGAAGATGGTGGAAACGCTTGTATTTTTATAGCTCCTTAGCATATTGAAGTATTTCAAAGCAATTCACAACAACTTGCTTTTATACAGTGCCCCTCACACAGGGTAGCGTCCCAGAGATCTTGACAGTGGCGGAGCATGATGCCAAGTCGGGGAAATGGGTTGGTGACTGTAGGCACAGTCGAAGAGGAAGGTCTTCAGATGCGATTTGAAGATGGGGAAGGAAAGGGCAAGGTGGAAAGATCAAGGAAGAGTGTTCCAGAGATTCGGGGCATAGTGGCTGAAAGTGCAGCCACCAATGGTGAAACAGAGTTCACAAGGGACAAAGCAGAAGGAGCCAGTTGAGTGGAGGCCGTGGCTAGTAGGTTGGAGAATAAGCAGGTTGGAGAGGTGGGGAGGTGCCGGGGCATGAAGGGATTTAGAAACGAGTGTGAGAATCTTGAAATTGAGCCATTCAACGATAGGGAGCCAGTGGAGCCTGGCTAGAACTGGTGTGATCAGGGTCTGGAGTTTAATGCAGGTGAGTATGCAGATGGCAGAGTTTTGGATCAGCTGGATCCTGTGCATGGTGGAGCTGGGCAGACCAGCAAAGAGGGTATTTGAGAACTCGTGTCGAGAGGTTTTGTGGATAAACACAGCAGCCATTTTTGGGTATAGCAAATTAGCACAGAGAGCCATGAGATGTTTGGTCAATTAATCAGTAGGATTGTTTGCCAGGATACCAGGAGAAACTCCTTTCTCTTTTAGAGTAATCTCATGGGATTTTTAGTGTCCACCTGAACAGGTCCTAGAACCTGCTGACATTGTCTACATGAAAAATGACTACTGGCAAGGTACTAGAGAGTGACAGTGATCATGGAACCATAGTCATAAATCAGCTTGTCAAAAGAGGAGAAAATATCTCAAGAAATAGAAGACAGTTCATTTTGGTGCTAAGCACATCAAATCTTATTATTTGATATCATTAAGTAAAGTGCAATGGGTTAAAGTTCAGTTATTCCAGCTGACCAAACACAGAAAGTGCCATTATTTTGTATCGCAGCATTTGTTAATGAAAATTGAATGTTGAGATGTATGAATTAAGTTGAGAGAAGTGGCTTTCAAATGAAGCAAACCTAAACTTGAATGCAATTTAAGGAATGAATGCTTGATACCAGACTTGTGTGGGTGATAAACATGAGCCTGGTTAAATTGATGAAAAAAGATAAGTGCAGACACCCGATTTAACACTGCGATAGACAGTGTGTACGGTTTGCAACTGAATCAGGAGGGAAATCAAAAATCACCTGAATAGCTCTTGATTTTGGGCTTGTAGGCCATTCAGCTGATCAAGCGTGTTTAGATATCTCAGCAACAGCAATGCTTAATGGAATGAATTTTAATATTTTTATTTTCACTGAACAGTTTTACTCATTCTTGTCGCTCATGTTTTTTTTAAAAAAGAAACTGAAGTGGACAACTTTTAATCCTCAATTAAGATTTAATGTGTACAAAATAAAAACAATTTAGAACAGAACCACAGTCATAAATCAGCTTCATAAATCCACAATGTTAAATGGATCTGTCTTACCAGGTTTAGAACTTTACTAAAATCTAGTTTTATTTGTTATTGACTTCCAGTTTGTCTTCTGCCGTGAATGCAAGGAAGAATACCACGAGGGGCAGTGTTGTGTACTTCGTGTGAGGGAGAGAGCTCCAGAACAGCAGGTAGGACACAAACTTCATTGAGAGCAGGGCCCAAATGTGTTGTACTTTTATCCCAACAAGCTGTTGACAAGTTAAAGATGTATTTTCTCCTGTAGACATGTCTCCTGTACTCTTGTCCTGAATAAAACTGGCAGGAATGCAAGCTCTAATTTGATGAAAGAGTTAATCTGCTGTAAGGTCAAGGTCTGAAGTGTAGGATACTACTAAAACCATAGAATTTTACAGCACAGGTGGTCCTTCAGCCCATTGTGGTTGTGCAGGCTATCCAGTTAGTCTCACTCCCCGTTCTGTTTATAATTTCTCTCTTTCAAATAGTTGTCTAATTTTCTTTTAAAAGCTATTTTGGATTCAACGACTGCATTGGAAAGGCATTCCACGTCTTAAGTACAGTAGAACCCTTTGTACGATTTCACCTTATAAGGTGAGTTTGCTTAGAAAGCAGGTGCTCTGTGGACTCTCAGTTGGTTTCTGTGTCATCAGGTTGTTACTGACGTCATTCATTGTTTGCTACGCATGCACAACATGTGCAGGAAGCACCCGATCCGAGCACACACGTATGGCACATGGCAAGTGACATCCACAGTGATCTAACAACCTGGAAGTTGGCCATTTTATTGCGCAGGAGATCAGAGTGCAAGCAGTGAATTCAACGGTGGCCTTTTTTNCAGGAAATGAATCCGCCATGTGCAATGGAAGTCATGTCACGGTGGTTGTTTGGGCTTCATGCCCTATTTATAATGCGATGTTTGGGTTTATAAATTTGAATAAGGACATTATGATGGGTCTCTTCTGTACTAGCTTATTGCACGGCTTAAATGCTAGACTGAACAGAATGGGAGAGAGTAGATAAAGATGTGATTGGGTGATGGCCTAGCTTCATGAAAGAGAAAGCTAAGGGAGGTAAAGATAGTCTCACACACCTGTGGTGATATCAATGAAGTTAAACGTTCCCAAACTTGGCAGGCAATAGTTTCCAAAAGCATTCTGCTTTCCTTCCTTATATAACCCTGTCTGCCACATCTCCACATTGTCAGGTATGATAGACATTGCAAAGCCTCTGTGAAATTTCAGCTTAGCTTCCACCGGCCATTCTCATTTCCACTTCTTAGTTTGCTGTAACTGGAAAGCCAACATACATCAAGTCCGACATTCGTTCCAGCATGATAGTAGTGCGATCGCTTTCATCAATCATCGTTTCCTTCGTCTTGACCAAGCTAATTTTAAATCTAGCAGACCTAGCTTTATAATTGATACGGTTCACTTTTATATGGCCATTCTTCTACCATTGTAGACAGCAAGGTGATGATAGCTTCAAAGTCAAGGTCTCACATCTGACCATTTCTCAGCCACTTTATTGATTTGTGACAGAATTGTAGCCTCTTGCAGTGTCACTCAGCCAATAGCCAACATTCGTAACAAAATGTAACCTTGGGATTCACTGATTCCGCTGAAATCCCTCCAGATCTGTGTCAAGTAAAAGGCCTGAGGTCCCTATCAATTTTCTGTCATCACTCAAAAGTGCTGGTGTTATCATTTACCAGTTAGTTGCTCACTCTTACCAGGCCTTCAGTTATGTTCATGGTGTGACCCAGATGATTCTAAAATCATGCTTATGGGCAGTATAGATCTGCATTGTGTAGAAGGGGATTAATGTATTGTGTGGTTATATGTATAAAAGGTGCAGCAATTGCAAGATAAGCAAAAGGCATTTGCAGTCCATACATGGAAGGGCGCCACTTAATAACTATAGCCGTTTATTCTTTGTCATTTATTTTCAATAAAAATTCCACTCCGATATTCTCCCCTCATTCAATGGCTTTAATTTTGAAATAAATTTTAAAGGACGTTATCTGCCCTCCAGTGCCTTGCCCACATCAACATGAAGCAAAGCCTATACTCCAGCCAAATGAAAGGAAAATGAACAAATCTCAGTTTATAGTGGAATCAATTTATGAAAAAAATTCAGTGGGTATTACACAACTTCTGGGCATACTGCATTTTTGTCACAGTTTGTATCCAAGATTGATAGGCTTGTAGGTTCAAGCCCCGTGTTGAATTTTGACCTCAGAGTCCAAGCTGACACGCCATTGCTATACTAGGGGAATGTTGCATTTCTGGAGGTGCCATCTTTCAGATGAGACTTTCCCATCTAACTTTGCTTAAGTGTACATTGAAGATCCCATGATACTAGTTCAAAAGAAAAAGGTGTTTCTCCTGGTACCCAGGCTGACAATCCTCTTGCTAAATGGTTGTGTGTGTGGGGGACCTTGCTAGTACAAATTGTCTGCTGAGTTTGGCTACAAAAGAATACTGTGACATTAATTACTTGTGAAATACTTTGACATGTTCCAATAAACTTCTTTCTTAATTTTGAAAAAGTACATTGGTTCTTAAAAGTGTTGGGAAACTTTGTTCTGAACTCTTTTATCTGAGATTTTGGCTCATTGTCTTGTTTGTACTGTGTTTCAAACATCACTATGTACAGTGTGTGCTTGCTGGGTGTGTGAATTGCAGGATGAGTTCTGATGCCCAAAGAAAACAGCACGAATGCACAACCTTTGCTGCAGTCTTTTCTGTTGCTGTCATCCTGAATTTACTCTCAGGCGCTATTATCAAAGCTCTAGGAATTAAAATAGGATTAGATGCACCTTCATTAGAATTAGTAAAAGCAGAACAACAACCCAGAAGTATCAACATTTGAACCAATGGTATTTTTTTAATAAAAAGCTTACTGACTGTATAGAAACATTTACAATATTCCCCTTCAATGTGTGATAATCAAAGCATTAGGTGGGTGGAAACCACAAAGGTAGGCAAACTTATTGGCACCACCTAGTGCCAGGGTTCAAGAATACAATTCTGAAATGCAACCAAAGTCCATCTTGTAGGATGATATAACAGAAGTGGAAAGATAATGTACACAAGAATGGACGCTGTTGATTTTGAACCTTGTCTGTCAATGGACTCTAACAATGAGAAGATTCCTTTTCGTTGCTGTGTGGTTTGTTTCAAGACAGTTTCTAAATACACAGTTTCAAGACAGTTTCTAAATACACCCTCTTAACTATTTTGTATTTATTTTATATGTTTATTTATTTGCACATGAGGAGTTGTACTTTCAGAATTTTAGAGTTCCCCAATATCAAGAACGACACCAACAACAACTTGCATTTATATATCGTCCTTCACGCCGGACGGTGTCTCGGAGCGCTTAACAGTGGAGGAGCCCGATGCCGAGCCAGGGGGAGGGGGAAGGTGACCGCAGGAACTGTCAAAGAGGAAGGGCTTCAAGCGCGACCTGAAAATGGGAAGAGAGAGGGCAAGGCAAAGGGACTGAGGGAGAGAATTCCATAGCTTTGGGGCGTAGTGGTTGAAAGCACGGCCGCTGATGATGAGGCGGAGGGTCCAGGGGACAAGAAGGAGGCCAGAGCCAGTTGAGCAGAGGTAGTCGTGTAGGGAGAGAGCAGGATGGAGAGATAGGGGCCTGCCAGGGCGTGAACGGATTTAAATACAAGAGTGAGGATCTTGAAATCGATCCACTCTGACAGGGAGCCAATGAGTTTGACAAGGACTGGGGTAATGGAGGTACAGAGTTTAGTGTGGGTGAGAATGCGCATGGGTTCAGTGAGTCTTGGGGAAAGATCGGGTAGGGTGAGGAGGTCTGAACCACAGGAGAGAAGACATTGACGGGAGTGTGGCTTCCGTCTTGTCAATGTTCAGCTGCAGGAAGTTTGCGCTCATCCAGCTCTTGATATCCATCAGACAAGCTGACAGAACATGAGCGACTTGGGAGTCACAGCTGGAGGCAGAGAACTAGATGTGTTTGTCATCTGCATACATGTGGAAGTTTACCCTGTGTCTGCGGATGACATTGCTGAAAGGGAGCATGTAGATGAGGAAAAGAAGGGGGGCAAGAATGGAACCTTGGGGTACCCCGCAGGTGACCAGGCGGGGGTGAGAGGGCAATCCACTGACCGAGATGAAGTGCTGGTGGTTAGTTAAGAAGGACTCGAACCATGCGAGTGTGATCCCACTAAGGTAGATGAGGGAGGAGAGGCAGCGGAGGAGGATCGCATGGTCAACTGTGTCGAACGTAGAGGAGTGATCCAGGAGAACGAGGAAGCAGAGGGAGCCCTGGTCACAGAGAAAGAGGATGTCATTTGTTACTTCGAGCATTGTCTCTGTGTTGTAGGCTGGATGGAAACCGGACTGGAAGGGTTTGAGTAGGGAGAGGTGTGAGCGAAGTTGGTTTGCAACTAGGTGCACAGTGCACTCAAATACTGTCCTTCCACTACTGAGACCTAGGTTAATTCACTAGAATAGTTGGATTGAAGGTGTCTCCCCTGTTTTAAGAAAGCCAAGTGAGAAGAGTTGGGTAAAATGGACCTAATTCATATCTGGTCTATTGTAAATTGATACTCTCACTCCAAGGATGGCAGGTATGAAAATTGAGAAATTCAGACGATACAGTAGAGGATACTTCTACATTTGGAGCTAAGGCAGATTGGTGGGATACAGCAGATGACAATTTACATTTAGAAACCTGAAATTCCACTTTATCTTAGCCTAAAAGTCAGTTTTGCTTTATTTTTAACATTGTGCAAAGTTATGGAAAATTCTTAAAATTTAATTTTAATTTGCACATCAGTTTTCCACATATTTTTAACAAATCTGTCTGCGATTAATAATAATCCAATAATCCGTATTACATTTGATAACATCTATCACACTGGGAGGATGTCTCAAAGTATTTCACAGGATATACTGTAAAGTATAGTGACTGTATTTTGTAGGTAAACTCAGCTGCCAATTTCCGCACAGCAATGTCCCACATGAAGTGAGTGACAAATTTTATTTAGGGGATTGTTGGCCAGGATACCGGGAGAAACTCCCTTCTCTTTTGGGATAGTGCTATGAATATACTTGCTGCCAATGTAAAAGGCACAATGCTAAAGCCAGGGATTGTTTATTTTGAAGGTAACGATCCAAGTCAAAAAGAGAATGCAAACAGGATTAAAAATGTGCACTTGCTTCAGAGAAACACAAGGTGGCCTACTCCAGCTGCAATTTTTAGTGTAGCATGGGATAATGTACTGTGTTCATATTACTTTGGGACTGTCAAACTAGTGCAATATTAATCTGGTTTTAAATGTTACTCTTTTAACTTAAACTGGATTTTCTCCTCAGTAGATGCCTGCTTGCACTAAAATACTAATGGTTAGATTAAATTAAAAACACTGTAAAACAGCAGAAAATTCCCATCAACAATTTTTTTAAATATTACTTTGCAACATCATAAATCATTTTACATTATGATGAGAGGGGTATTTTAGATTGGAAGATTTGAATTCCTTTAGATTGAGGCATCTTGTATAGCACTGTTCTTCAAAGAGCATGAGAGTTTAACCCTCTTTCACATTCTGGCTCTGTCAAAGAGTCAGTACAGACATAATGGGGGCAACTGCCCTTTTGAACTATAAATGTGTATGATTCTAACCCCAGAGTGTTTGGTTGGTATAAGAGTTGTATCTAGGATTACAGCTTCTATGGAGACATGGGGCTATACCACTAGTTTGGCTTTCATAGAACTGTCAATATTTTAAATTCTTGATGCATGGGCGGGAAGAAGGAAGAATACTTTGAAAAAGTTTGACAAAAATGCAATAAATTGTCCAAGTACGTGATAAAAATGTCAGCTATTGAACATATGTTTTGGTGCAATTAGCATAGATGTTTGATGTTAAAAAAAAAGTGGGTAAAATGCAATAAATAATTTGCGGTGCGTATAATCTTCAGATGTTACAGTGAAATGTTTTATTTTAGTTTCTCCAAAATGGGAAAGTCACAAGTTACAGAAAGAAAAGGTGCTAAATTTGGTGTGCACTAGCTTTAGTTAGGGGATGAGGCCAGAAACTGCTTAGCTCCAGATTGGAGATATTGAGCCTGTTTTCTGCACGTGGGGAGTGGGGGTGGAGACTGATCACAGCACGGATGTAATTCATTCCTTTCTTTGTTTTCTTAGGCTTATGTTGTTGACCCTCAGGCTGCTCAGCTAGCTCGCTGGGAAGAGGCTTCAAGGCAAACAATTGAGCAGACAACCAAGCCTTGTCCCAAATGCCATGTGCCAGTGGAGAAACATGGTCTGTACCTAATGGCAATCAAAATTGAGGCCACAGAAAGTGGCGACACACACTGTACATGCGGTAATTGGGACCGCAAATGTATTTGCTGTATTTTTATGATTTTGCCTGCGCTTGGGGTTTACAGCAAATCGACAGCTTAATAAACTGGTTTAAAATGGCTTGTCGCCGGAAAAAGGAACGGAAACAACAACAAACAAAAGCTGCATTTATGTAGCGTCTTTCACATCGGGAGGACGTCCCAAGGTGCTTGACAGTCAAGCATTTGCACCCGAGCTGGCAGTTGGGATCAGGAGGGCAGGGAGGGTGGGACTAGAAGGGTGAGCGAAGGCACAGTCAAAGAGGCGGACCTTGAAGAAGGCAAAGGGAGGGATACAAGGCGAAGGGACTGTGGGATGGAATTCCAGATGGTGGAAGCAGAAAGGCTGAAGTCCTGACCATCGATGGTGTGGGGGAGGGCAGGGCGGGGGACTTGGAGCAGGCTGGAGCCCCTTCAAAAGCAACCAATCTTGTTTCTAATTGCAGCAGCTGCATTTCAATAAGCAGCAGGGTGGGGCAAACGGGTTGTACCAGCTCAGTGCAATCTCCTAACAGGTTCAGGCCTGCAGTTCAAGATAATTCCAATGACTCAATCTTTTGGATGATTGATAAATTATTGTGATGTATATGTATTTATATGGCAAAGCGTTTCCTGTTCTCATGGTTTTTTTGCTACATTGGTATAATGGAAAATCATGTCATTAAGGGTGTAATAAAAGTATAGCTATTATTAACAATTGTCAATTCTAAAAACCCTTTGACTGTAACCTTTTCATAATGGTTGGACTTGATGTATGTGGGCACATAGGCGTTTCTGTGGTTAATCTGGCGATGATGCATTAAAGTAAATGCATCATCACCATTTACAACATGTATTTAAAGAGCCGTTTAAAAAATGAAGAGCATCAGACTTTATCCCATTTCAAGGGAAACATAATTACTCAATAAATTCTAGAAGCAATGGACCTCAGGTTCTTTCTGAATGGGGATATTTTTGGGGAGTTGTCATCAACCCTTAGCTATGGAGCCCTGTCACATATTGGTTAGAGCACTTACCTCACAAATGAGAGGACCTGGATTTGTTTCTCAGGCGGGGCAAAACCGTAGGCAAGTTTCCTTACTCCACACACCTCTATTTACCTAGCACTAAGTAGGAAACCAATTGTTACTTGGTTAGTAGATCGTTTTTCCAGAGGTAATAATCCTTCAAATAATAATTTGGTCACTCAATGCATGATTGTTTGTGGGATACTGCTGTGTGCAAAATTCCATGCAGCCCATCAACACATGGAAATTCCAGAGATAGATTGTTGGAGCTGAGTGAGATTCCTTGCCCCAAGTGACTGGTCTACCCTTCCAAGTCCTGCAGTTAAGCCAGGCTTGCTGTGCTGATATCAACAGTACCCTGGAATTGTGCGGACCCACCTTACTCAGGAACTAGACTCTCGAGACCGCAACAGAGCGTGATTCTGACATTCCGTTGACAAACATATCACCTTGGAGCCAGTTCAGCTCTAAGGAGACGCCGCTTACCTCCTTACACCCCTCCCCAGGGAGGATAGTCACTAGTTGGTAACTTATTTTGATTAATCCTCTGATATTGGCATTCTATTCAGGCGCATTATCAAGTGCCATAAACTACTTCAGGTACGTTTTATAGTTTATGATGTTATCTGTAACCCATTGTTAGATTACAGGTAGATTCTCATGCTCAGTCATTGGAAATTTCAAAGGTTCAGAGTCCTTTGTGCCATTCAAATTGTGAAATTTGCAATCAGATTATCTGTAACTAATGCCTCTTCCTACCACAGGAGGATGCATGCACATGAAATGCCCCAGATCGTCTTGCCTGTTTCAATGGTGCTGGCTGTGCGGCATGGAATGGAACCGTGACTGCATGGGAGACCACTGGTTTGGGTAACGGACCAGAAAAGTGAAGAAGCACGAATAGAACCACAGAACCCAAAGATTCTTCTTCCACTCAGTTGTTCTTTGCATTTCTTTCAGGATGACCTCAAAGGGACAGTAATAAGTACCCTCCTAGGCTAAATAGAACAGAATTAGTCCCATTGCTGATCACTGCATAATTAAACCCCCTCCCTCCCACCAGCATAAAACATGTGGGTGGGTATGAACGAGATTGGCTTTAGTTGTGATGTGCTAAGATGGCAACGCTCAAAAAACGCCAGACTATCTGGCCTGAAATTTCAAGCTTTTTCTTTAGAAAACTGTGAGTATTTTAATCCATAAAAACAATATTATCACTCGCATTTATCTCTCATCTGATTAAGCAATGGTGGAGGCAGTTTGTGATTTTAGTTGCCCTTGGTGTCAGGCATTGCTTTTGCTGAATCTTATTTTGACAGATGCAATGTGACAAACTCATTTGGCTTTTTAAAATCAGTTTTCTTTTTCGTTTGAAAAATTGAATTATGGAAAAGATGTATGAAACATTGGCAGCCTTTGTCGTTTCCTTTGTAGGCCTCTTCATTCAACAGTCATGGAATTTTTAAGCAATTGAGGCCTCATTGGAAAAAGGTGCAAATTGATGAGTAGCAGTTGTTAGACTTTTTAATTTATAGCTAAAAAGGCAGATAACATGGGTAAGATAATAATAAGATCACTTGTACTGCAATCATTTTCCATCCAAATTCTATGTCATGTCAAAACAATGCTGCATTGCTTAATTATATAACTTGGTGTTTTTTCTTCACTATTCGCCTAGTTTCAGGGCAATCTTCACTTTATTGCACATTTTGTTATTTGCACTGGAGCTGGATAGTCTAAACGGTACTATACACCAAATGTGTAGACCTTGGCCAATAGCAGTAGGCTAGATTACATATTGTACAACAAATATAAAACATTCTCTCCTTTCAACAGTGGGCACCGTACATTCATAATGCCCATGTGTCTCTCTTTGCTTGTGTAGCTCTCTGCTCTTTAGTATCTCAAGAATAATAAAGTGATACAATTAAACTCTGTTTGAAGCCATGTGTTGCCTATATTTTTAAAGCCTTTTTTTCCATTCTCTTGATAGCTCAACTGCTTCTGGTTTACCTTCTTTAGCTAATTGGCTGAAACAGAAACGATGGGACTAAAATAATTTCTGCTGCAATCTATTTTCAGATACTTTGTATTTTTGTGGTTGTTGTATTTTGGTCACTGGATAAAAAAGGGAAATAAAAAAATACAATAACCTAAACAAAAAGTAATAATGTCCACTCCCAACTAAAGCAATAATCCCTTATTCCATGACTGTCAAAACCTTTCCAGTTTTGAGGCTATGTGCAATTTCTTCTCCACTTGTTCGCAATGCACCAACTACATTGAAGTGCTGACAGCTGACCTCCTCTATGCTTACCTATTGTGTTCTAAACTAGCTCACAGGAGATCCTGGGCCCACATAACACTAAATCTGGCTGTCTTGGACTCACCACCTCTCTCAGTGATGGGAATTTGAGACAGCTGGTGCAAACTGCTGTTCTGCTGTTAAGTAACACTACATATCAAATGATGACATTTCTGAAATGTGTTTTAAAAACTTTTGAATGGTGTATCACTTTCCTCGGTTTCTAGTCTAATGTAAGTTGCTGTTTAAAGCGGTATCATTTAGGTCTTCATATGCTCTTTAAAAATTCCTCATTCATTGATGTTAACCATCTCTAACTTTATATGGACTTCTTCAACTGTGTAAATGAGCATTGCATAAAGTAATTGGTGGAAACTGTGTTGCGATTTGGGAAGTTGTGTGTTAGTTATCTATCTCTAACTTGAACTGATGTTTAAGAAGACAAACAATGTCAGAAGGCACGAGCAGAAACATAACGGGTAGATCCAAGTACTGTATATGGCATAAAATCTCTGAAGATGCAATAAAGTGAGGCTTTTTTCCCATCCAATGTAACCCCTTCTTTTCTGAAGATGCTAACTCTTTGCTGGGTTATATCACTAACTGTTCTCTCTCTCTCACCAATACCTCACCTAAGATGCCATTCAGTGAACCTAATGAATATTTTGACTATGGGAGATTGGAGTCGAGCACAATCCCATCCTCATTCAACATCCACAGGGGCAGAAATTAACTAAGAGAATTCCAGATTTTCACCTTTCTAGCTCAGGAAAATGGTAGGAGAATAGATTCATAAAACGTTTATCGCTCAGGAGGCAGTTCAGCCCATTGTGTCTGTGCTGCTGTTAGTTCCCCACCGCAGTTTTCTGCTCTAACTTGTATTCTTTCTTCATATCCTTGAAAATTTATGCAAACTTTTTATCCATTTCCCTTTTAAATACTTTTAATGTCTCAACTTCAACAGTTCTTTGTGGTAAGCCACTCTAAGTTCCTTCCAATAAATGAGTCAGTTACTTAGAATGTCTCCAAAAGGAAATACGTTAGACTAGAAACTGAGGAAAGTGATAAGCAGAACTGCTAAATTTTGATTACAGTGGAAACTTATGATTTATTCTATGAATTTTGAGTGCTTTGCTCATGACTAACCAGATATAAAAACAGGATAGTCTGAAGTTACAAGGTTAATTCCACTTTTGCGTTATTTGCTGATATGATCCAGGGCAGCAAAGAGTATGAGAGTCCACTGGGTTCAGGAGAGAGTGGAAACATCCGGGATCCCCATTCCTGATTGCTATCCAGTGATTTTTGTTGGAAAGTGCATGTATGGGGTGTGGACAGCATTGAGGTTAGTTCTGGTGATTTTGACTCATTAGCCCACATGCATTTTCCTGACTTACAGATCAGCAAGATATGTATAGCATCAGTGGCACCTTATCCCAATGTGAATCACTCAAATCTATTCCCATTGCACAAATTCCCAGCAGCTCCCATAGGTGTACTGACCTTAACTAAGTACTGTGTACTTCTGATAGGAATGAACATTTTAGAAAAAACCGTTTGCTTCACCATTTCTTCATACTTTCAGTTTTTGATCACCTCAGTGTGTTGCATTGATCTGAATTACAGTTTTTTTTATTTTGTCACCCGGGTGTCTGACACATGCAGAAACCCATCACCATGCTTAAGAGTATGCAAACCAAACTGAGAGTTCAATGCATCCCACCTATACAAGGAAATTCCAGAGATATTTGTTGGAATGGAATGCGCAATCTCTCCCTGGAGGGACGCATTGGTCCCTCCAGGGAGTCCGCTGTTGTCCACCAACAGCACAATATCATCCGCAACCAGAAACGCTGCAATCCTGTCAGAAAGGCCTTGGAACAGCTACACCAGTTCATTAATTCTATTCCCATCCAACACGTCATTGATAAATACGTCGAAGAAGGTGGGTGACAATGGGCAGCCTTGCTTTACCCCTTCCTTCAAGAGCAATGGGCTTAGTGAGTCCATGGTTGAACTTTACACAGATCTTGGAGCTGGAATAAATATTCCAGGTAAAATCCAAGGTTTGGCCATGTATTCCCATGGCGTCCAGTTTCATCATGAGGCGCTAGGTCCTGGAAGTTGATGAATGCAATGTGTCACAATAGGAGCAGTGGACACTGAACACCAAGTGGGAAAAAATTGTCTGAATGCACATTCAAAGAGAGAACCCTTTGGGGGTAAGAAAGTAAAGTGATCCAGGAAAAAACCTGACTCTGAACGGGGGTGGGATTTCTAAGAATTGAAAAGCATTGTCAAATAACTTAAATGAAAAGGCAGGTTAGCTAGATCTGCTATACACTGGAGCTAGCAGGATAGATGCACTCTTCTGAGGCAGTCTCTCAAACTCTACAGATCACTGCAGGTCTTTGTGAAAAAGATTGCACTCAAGCACTGTGAATGAGGCATGAAAGAATTAAGATTTTGGCACAGTTATACTTTCAGGTCAAATTCTGAAGTCAACTCGCCAGAAATGAGTCAGTCCTAAGCTGAAAATCCATAGTGTTAACACAATGATAATTTTTTCCTCTTCCCTTAGAGGGACATTGTATTCAGTATAAAAATGTTTGGAAAATTAGAAGATCTATCCATTTTTTGTCACTTAAATCACATGCAGCTGACACAATGCTGCAACGAAACTGCTGCATGCCTTGTAAGTGAATGGAGAAAAAATGTTTGTCACTTTTTTATGAAGCTTAAATACGATGTATCTTTTCATGTTGCTCTATTAAATTGAGGGAATCTTGTTTCAATGCCTGAGGATATGCTTTGAAAAAGGCTGTAGATCCTCTAACAGATGGCATACTATATTTCAAAATAACTGGGATGCCTTACATTCCATTTATTATAATTCATTCCAGCCTCAAAAGCCAAACAAATAATAATAATAATGGGGCGAAACCTCATGCATTTTCCTTAATCCACATGCCTCTGTTTACCTAGTAGTAAGTAGGAACCCAGTTGTTAGTCGATTGGCTGATTGCTTTCTGGGGATAATAATTCCTCAAAAATAATAATAATTTGGTCACTCAATCCATGACTGTTTGTGGGACACTGCTGTGCACAATAGGCAGCCATGTTTTGCCCACAAAATATACAGTCAATTCACTTTACAGTTCATTCTGTGAAGCGCTTTGACACGTCTCGAAGACGCAATAAGGCGCTATATCCAATGCAAGGTTATTTATTAATTATTTTAAAAGGCACTTAGTAGATTAATTATAAAGCATACAGTTAATTATAATTATAATTATAATTAATTATAACAGCATACAGTTCTCCTGTTCTGACGAAAGGTTGTGGACCCGAAACGTTGACTCACTTTCCTTTCTCCATAAATACTGCCCGACCTGCTGAGTGTTCCCAGCGACTTCTGTTTTTGTTTTCAGATTTCCAGCATCTGCAATATTTTGCGTTTGGTACAGTTCTCTTTGCTGGGAAGGAAAAGAGATGAACAATGTCTCTTCCCACAGTGACTTAACCAATAAAGCAAAATTAGGAGCCAAATTACAGGAGTCTCTGAATGTGTAAAGTGGTATTTTCTAGACTTTTTAATATATCGAATCAACAGAAGGAATTTTCCATTGTTTGGAATTTTAAAGTGGAAGTAAAAATCAATTGTCACTGAACTTCTTCTGCTACAGATCATAGTAAACAAGGAAACAAACCGATTATGTGCTGAGTGGTCTTGTAGGCTACTAGTATACTGTCAGATGCAAGTGATTTATCTTTATCCAGGATATGGCCAAAGTGTTCAACATACAAGTTACCAGTCAGTAAATGCATTTTAGCTATCTGTATGTATAGTACATATTCAAAACCACCATTCTCAGTACTTAGATTGTCACATCCGGATGAACACATAAATACTTGCAGTCAGCACCTCTTATCCATCATTGTTCATTTGTCAGCACTGCTTGGAATCACAAGTTCACTATTTTAACCTCTTCTTCACATCTGCATGGCTTGTAGATTGAGCAAAATGTTCAACTTCTGATTTGTGGCTATGTCACTAAATCATCAACAACATAATAATAATCCTTTAATTTGATATAGCACCTATAATCTGAAGTTTGGTTAGAACACATTTGAAGTTCTATGTCCAATTCCAGTCTCCACACCATAAGAAGGATATCGCAGCATCAGAAAGAGTATAGCGTTGTTTTACTAGGATGATACCAAGGCTGGGAGGTTACTGCTCTCAGGATAGACTGTATGGATTAGGCTTATTTTTATGCTAGAGAAGAGATGTTTAAGATGGGATCTAATAGAGGTGTTTAAAGTTATAAACTAGTTCACGATCCTGGTCCTCACTTACAAAGCCCTTCATGGCCTTGCCCCAACCCTACCTCTGCGGCCTCCTAACCCCCTACCAACCTGCCCGCTCCCTCCACTCAGCCGGCTCTGGCCTGCTCCTCGTCCCCCGACCCACCTGCCCCACCATTGGTGGCAGAGCCTTCAGCCACTCTGTCCCCAACCTCTGGAATTCCATCCCTCAGTCACTCCGCCTCACCCCCTCCTTAGCCTCCTTCAAGTCCCGCCTCAAGACCCTTCTCTTCGACCATGCCATCGGCCACCCCACTCCCCTCCCTTCTC